ACACACACACACAAATAAAATTATCATTCTTTTCCCTTAGGTCTTCTTTCCTTTGCCTTCATTATAGGAAGGTGTGGAATCCTTACTCTGGAAAAGCTTCTAGGAGGACTGACTTAGTTATATTGCATTGCTTATGTGTTTAAAATTGTGTAGACTACGGTGCTGAAATATATGTCCTGCATTTCACGGACCTGCTAGTGTTATGTATGACTCTCCCAGTGTCCTATGTTTCTGATATTCGCATGGCTGTCGGGTGTTTGTCACCTTTCCTATCCACCTCCTACTTTTTGTCCTGGACTACAATGCTCCTTGCTGGCTCTTTTCTTCACCATCACAAGTTTTATGTCCAGTTTCCCCTTCTCATCTCTGCTACTGTTATGTTTAACCTACTCTCTCGATCCATTCCTAACAACCCCCCTCTTCCCTCCATGGCATTTTTTCTGTCCCTTGTCAGTTTTTGTATGCTTCCCACGATGTACTTGAAATACCCCAACAATCATAGAGTAATGATGTGCTTGTCTTAGCCCTGTTTCTTTTTGCTTAGTGGTCAGCCTGTACTGCTGAAGATGAGTGTGAATGTTTGTGTTCATGTGCACGTGCGTGGGTTAGTGAAATTATTTCTGAATGCAGAGAGACGCAAGGAATCTTGTACCCAGATAGTTATGGTTTCATGCTGGCCTTTTTTTTTTCTGGGATTGACTGTTCAGAAAACTTTATAGCACATCTGCTCTGATTATATACGCAAACTTTGCTTAAAAGAAATTTTCAGCTTTTTATCTTCCATTTTTAGATTTTTCTATTTTAATAAAAAAATGATTTCAAGATCTCTAGTGCAGTAATTTGGGATAGTAGCTCCAATCAAAATGCCACAAATAAGCTGAGATGAATGTGCAGTTACTTAGTGTTGTTGATGAAGTCTTACATTTTTTTTTTTNCCTACACCGTCGCCGGTGACTCATGGCAGCCCAGCTCCAGGTTGAGCTGTTGTTCAGCATCTTAGCTGTGGAGGGCCGTGTCACTGGCCCTCATATGTGGGATCCAAACCGGGGCCCTCTGGCGTCTCAAGCCAGCTCTTAACCAAAATGCCACTCGGCTGGCCCTGTAAGATCTTTTTTTAAGCAGCGCCCTTAAAAATCTTTTGTAACTGAGCATTTCAAAGTGCCTACATGGGCATGGCTTTATAGAGACAGAGTTAAATTGACTTAGGCCTGGTCATCTCAGAATATGGAAGATAAAGGCAGAAAATTGTGTTTTACAAACTATATTTTGACTGGGAAATATTTAATCCCCAATGATAAACCGCTTTACAGCTGATTTGTTCACGGATATGATGGCTCTAGAAAGCAATAGACACTTGATTCAGTTGCCCTGAGTAGTTTCAAATTCTGGATTAAAGCATGGTAATTGATTTAAAGAAGACATGGCTATTTGTTGTGATAGAGATATGGGGAGCAGTGTGTGCTAATGGGGTGTATAGGGCCCTTTCTGATTATAATTCAGCTGGTTTAGTGGGGGTTTCACTTATAGCTTTTTGGTAGCTGGAATATTTCTGCCACTGAGAATAGTTATTTTCCAACACAGTAATTACCATTTGCTGATATGGGCCTCTCAAGCCACATCCACCATCTGACAGATCTGATCGTCACTGTGAAACTACTGAAAGCTGCTTTAAATGAGTCAAGATGGCCAGAGTGGTTTAACCTCGGATCCCCACATTGCAAGAACAGAAGGAAGGGTACATTGGTCGGAAATGTGATTTCAGTTCAATGAACCTCGTTTAATTTTATATCCCTGAGTTGAGTACTTAAAAACAAAACAGAATCCTTCCGGTCACTTGTTCACCTAGGATGGACTCGTTTCAATGGCCAGTAGTGGCAATATTTTCCTAAACGCTGACAGATGCTTTTGCATTATATATCAGAAGTTTCTGCTATCATTAGAATCACACTGCTTTCACAGTGCTGCAAAGGTTTTCTGAGATTGCAAGAAGATGTGGGCCGAGCTGGTGCTTTCTTATCTTTCAAATCAGGACTGTGGGAATAAACGGTGATGATGGAATTGCCTTTGTTCTGCTACAGGAAAAGAATTTCTGATTGCAGTACTTATCAGCCACTGAAGTGCTGAATCAGTAGCAAAAATTTAAAATAGCTTGCAGACTGGGACATAATTCTCCTGTG